AAATCCAAAGATTTAATTTCAGTTTTTTTTATAAGGAAATATTTTTTTAAACATTATGGTTGCGGGTAGTGCGTTGGCTTCCCTGCCGGATGAAACGGGAAGTTCTGAATAGAGAACGCAGAAGAGTTTAAATCCTCCCAAAATTAATAGAACGGCGTTGATAATGTTTCTCAAAAATGCAAACTCAAACACTCTAACTTAGTACTAGTAGACTTATGGAGTGGTGTGTCTTATACGCATCATTGTTTAGCGTATTATATATTGAGGGGATAGGTATCTAACGAACACAAATGTAAGTCGGATGTGAGAAGGTCATTTTGAAGAATACATGGAGCATAGCCTCGATAACATTCTCTATTTTTACTACACATTTTGTTATCTTCTTTCATATAAAAATGAAAAAAGAATTTGGGATTTGAATAAACGCTCTTCATATTTTACTCACCGTAACTCATTATGTCTAAAAAAATGTGACGAATAGTGTTCTTTATAATACGAATCTGTTTCTTGTTGTAACTCTAATGAGGGATAGGTACAAAGGTTACATTCAGCATTTTCGATGGATTGATAACAATAGAATAAAGTTAAGAGCGAAATAGTATCGAATACGCGAACAAAACTCTTGAGAAAGGGTAATCTCTGAACTACGATTAACAAATATATTATAAATTAAAGCTAATGAACTTAAGAGACAATTGCATAAACTACTGTATTTAGCATTATAATACTATTTATTATTTTATCCACTACAGTGTCATAATATTCGATTATTGCACTCATATGGATACTTTGAGAAACTTCATTACGGAACTATTGATGTAATATGTTTATTATAATACTAGTTATATTATGACTTAGTTTTAACTCTTTATTTCCTAGACAAAGGCATTGTTTGAATCAAACGAGTAACACTGCTACATCAAATGTACAATTGCAATAGAAATACTAAATAGCAACTTTCCTCACTGCCCGACTGCATTTTCCGTGGACAGTAACAACTGTTATACTAGGTAATAACGTGAGTCAAATTAGATTCATCAATAGCTAATAACAACAAATAACGTGTAAGCGATTCTTGCACACATACACACATACACACATATTCATCAGCGTCTCTCTGACTCCTTCCATCCGCCGGTGATGGGCGCCGTGTCGGCAGAAGACTAAGCGTCCGTAAGGCCTGCCCCCCACCCACCCACCCCCTCGCCCCGGCGGCGCCAGATAACATTGCAAAAAGGCGCTTTTATTCCCCTCTAAACTCTGCCCCGCGCAGTCTACCGCGAACGCGACTCAGTTAGCAGAAGACGCTCGCGACTATAAAGCTTGCCTAACTGAGTGAACACTCGTAAAGCGGCTTGGACCATCGTGTCAAGGAAAACGCAGCCCGCCCCGCCCCGCCCCCACCCCCACCCCCACACCCACACACTCTGTAGCTTCACGCACGGCACTCCGCGTCGCACTCCAGGGGCGGAGTGCTGCTACTAAGAATTACAAAAGACAATTAACGTCCCTGGAAACGGACAGATGTAATCTCCATTAGGTCTGGAGCGTGCTCCCAAGGCTACCTCTTCTCTCGGATGAAACATGCTGCGCTGTACGGAATTTCTCTGTTACTCGACGGATTCATTTCAATTGGATTCTCCCATCTCTTCTGTTTCCGTCGGAACAAACAGGTACAAATAACATAATTACGCGATGTTGTTGTCAGTCTTTTTTCGGCCCATGCGATGCACGTAGGATTTGCCGTGTTGCCTGTTCGCTGGTGGCCGCACTCAGTAAAATTGCGCTTTGTTGTTCGAATCGAGAGGAAGTACATGGAGGCTTCCTATCTGGAACAAATTTGCCACACACGATACTGGAAAATTGTGATGCATTACTGGATTATCTAGATAGTTTCCATAATGAAAATGTCAAAGAACCTGGTTATGAAATAATCCGTTAATGATGTTAATCACAATGTATTGGAGATTGTTCGCTAACGAGGAGTAGGGTGGACACGACCAATAATTAGCTATTAAATTGAGTATAAAATTACCACCTTTTGCTTTTTCTCGTGGTGAATGTCCACAATATAATAAAATTGCGTTCAGTCTTTCAAAATTAACAGTTTACAATAAAATCGAAATTACTGGATTATAATATTAATTATAATTAAATAATATTAATTGTAATAATGTTGCAGTATGTGACATTCAATTCTTACTCACTTAATACGCCAAAGGAGCGTACATTTTGTGATGCTCTTCCTCATGAATTGGCTGCCAAACTCAGATGCAAAACATAACCCAGTCTTTTTACATACTTTTTGTATATTCAACCATAATAAGGACTCGTTTGTGAACTGCAAGTTCCAAAAACAATGTAATATGAATTTTATTTGTTTATGTATATTCTTAACTATATATTTTATTAATATATTACTTTCTTATTATGATGATACTCAATTTATGGTTTTTATTTTATAAATTAATAAATTTTATTCCAAAAATTTTATTTTAATACAGAAATAGATTATTTTACCTGATTTCTCGAAAGATACCTTTCTAGTTTGAAGATGTCTATGTCTAACAGTGATATCGAATAGTTTTTAATGTACTAAACCTCACCTGGGCATATTTTGTCAGTGTGTGAGAGTTTTGACTTTAATAGAGAAGAGTGTAGTAGAAGTCCCGTAGGGCGTGCGAGCCCAAGGGTTTGTGGTTTTCGCGCACATTGGTCATATTCAGAGTATTAAAATGACATCTTTATACAACAAACTCATTCATAAGATCGATTTTTTTTCTTGAGCGAATCGAAATATGTGTCAATGAACATAAATAATTAATGGTCGAAGAGGCGATAGATCTGAGAGACTGAGAAAAAGAGAGAGAATCCCACTGCCCGACTTTGAACTCCGTTTGGACAGAACGCGACGTGGAGGAATTACAGGAAGTGGGGGCAGCGGCTGCCATTATAATCTACACCCCCGAACCAATTCGGCGGAGCTTGTTTTGCTTGCGACGATTTGTTTGGCTTGATAAACTAATTTTATAGGCTTTTCATATTATTTTTAAACAGGTATATAAAATAAAATGGCGTATTGGTGACTCTGTTGCATGTCTTGGACAAAGAAACTATTTGATTTCAACATGGAGTATAATCAACGATATCAATTAAAAGAAAAAAAGCGCACACGTTTCCAAAAAAAATTAATGCAGATAATTCACTTCACATGGTAAAATCACAAACGTGATCCTTAAAATATTAGCAATAAACAATTAATTTAATAGTTTTGTCTCAGAAGCGTAGATTCCTGTAGAAAGTGTTTTTTGAATTGTCACAGCTTCTGGATCATCGCGACTTGGTGCTCATTTCCCAGACTCCGAGATCAACTGTAGACTTAGTAAGTTCGCCAATTCACAAATTTGCCTTTTCTTCGCTTGAATTCCAAAACAGTAGATTATTTGTTCGAAAACATTTGGAACTGTTATTACAGCTTTGACTCGCAGTAAGCACAATCCTTTGATCGTTATTTGTACTAGTATATGTCCCGGGGTTTCTGATCGGTCGCCCAACCAGGAACTTGCGAAGTCTCAAATTCACTTGGCCTTCGTGACTCCACGATGTTAACGAATCCGACTAGCGACGTCGGTTTCGCGGTCGTGACTCTCAGTAGAACCATCCCAGCATGCACTTGCCTGACCGAAGGAGACCACGAAAACCCCGGTCAGGATGACCGGCACGGATATTGAACATGGACCTCCGGAATGCGAAGTAAGCACGTTACGCCCTGAGCTACTGGTCGTTATAGCCATTGATCGTTATAGCCACTGGCCGTTATAGCCACTGATCGTTATAGAAGAAGAGAAATCATCAAGAAACTGTTGTGTAGAAACGAAGTGCTTTCCATCAAAGTGACATAGCAAACATCTGCACATCTAACTGAAGTACTTTTTTGACCCCTGAAATGCCTCGCCGTGTGTTACATAACGAAATCGTGGCGAATTTTTGCACCTTGCAGCTGGCAGAGCGCGCTCGCGTTGCTCGTTCGTGGTCCCTCCGGACATCGCGGATTACTGTTCATTCGCACGCAGACGTGCACGCGCGTGCGTACCTCGCTTCCTGTTTAACAATACGCGTTGTGGTCACGCGACAACGCGCTCTGTTTCGTGTCCAGCGCGCCCGCCGGTGTTTTAATTTCATTCGTGACAATGGGTTCTAGTTTGCCGTGAACGGGAAAGTGTAATTTATACAAAATTGAATTATCATAAAAACTAATACAATTGCCGATTTAATTCGCGGGTCAGGGCCGTAATGCGATCAAATGCGTGGCACGTTGTGGTCGCAGCGGCGGCATTCGGCGCGCAGGATTTCTATTGAAAACGTCCCCCGCTCAGACAACGCGCGCTCGCATTGACATACGTCAGTTGTGGTATTATAATAATAAATTTGTTTAATATTATCAACAACGGATGATTAGAAATTCAGATTGTTTTTTGCTATTGCGGTATTTCGAGGTGAAACATTGTAAAGTCGCATGTTTTAATATCAGTTTAAAAAGGTGTAATGCCACTTCTAAATTAAATAAAACAATATAGGTAATTTTTCAAAACACAAGTAAGGCAAACAATTTTTTAAAAAAATAAGCAAATTTTGAATGAGTCTTGGGATAACGAATACTTCTCTTGTTAGCATAATTTTACTTTCTATAAGAGCATAATATTGAAGCACCGAAGTATTCTTAGTCTTGACCCCAAAAGTGCACAAATTTTTTTACTTCCTTCATTAGGAAGAGAATTGACTCCCCTGCAATGCGAATATAAGTAATCAGAAGCGAGAAGTAAACGTGGTACCAATAAGAAGTAATGTTAACTTAAAAATACTTCAGCACATCGCCGACTAGGAACATATAAGTATTAAAGTTAAAGGAATTAATTAAAAACTTCATTGTGGAAAATTTATAACGTAGAGGTGTTCAAGTTGAAAAAAGAAATAGGTGATCTCAAGGAATCAACACTCACCATAGTACACGAACTTCATTGAGTATCTCTTCCCTTATGTTGACGATAAGCACATACCTGGAAAGAGAAAATTAATCACCGTTAATACATAATAGTTTAATTACTTTTTATTTACGCATTTAAAATATAATTTAAAATACCTAGAATGGTAATACGAATTTCACTCTCATAGCATAATTCAATGTCAAGATATTGAAATGTCAACAGAAAGTTTAGGTTACTCGGTATAATAATAATAATAGTAATAATAATAATAATAATAATAAATCCCCAATCCCAATAAATCCCCTCACCATCATATAGCTAATATAATTCAATATTTTCTTCACAATCCAGAAAATCTACCTCACTTCCTCACTGAAGTAGAACATTTGTTACCAAAAGGAGGTTTACACTAAACGGACCCCTCGAATACAGGCCTATTAACCTGCCTCAAAACTTTTACAACTCAAACATCTTGTGTTTCGCAAATCATTGATGGACACACATTGAGAACAAAACATCTTAGCAATGAACAGAAAGGAGTAGACTGGATTCTCAGCGATGCAAGGAGCAACTCATTATAGGACTCTGTGAATTATGGGGCAAGTGCTTGAAAAAAACAAAAGAAACGTATATACGCATGCTACATAGATACGCTTAAAGGATTCGATACCGTTTGCCCATTCTTGCTCCTTCAGATATGTTTGGATGATACAAGTCCACCCGTTTATCCAAAAACTTTCCTGAAAAACTCGTATGAGTCGATGGAATAAAGAAACTGTAATCTCTCTATGGAAACAACAATCCGTCCCACACAGTACTGTACACATCCGCCGAGGGATTTTCCAGGGTGACTCTTAAGCCCTTTATTGTTCTGTTTACACTTGAATCCCCTCTCTATTTCTGACTTAATTCATCTAAATGTATGCAAGCCTCTAAAAAAGGGAACTCAACTCTTCTTCGTGTCTCACATCTCCTTTACATGGAGTGAACCTTGAAGCTCTATGCAGACACTGAGATCATTATGCGGCAACTAATAAAACGTGACGGAGAAGTCACTACGACATTTAAGATGAATTCGGTTTTGGATAAGTGCAGGAATGAGTGAATTATCATTCGCACGGTCATATGCCAAGGTAATTAAAATTTGGAAACTGTTAATAACCAAAGATTACCTTCATTGGAACCCATTGAAACTTGACAAATACTTGGGTTTCCAACAGTTTCACCCGAATCAAATCACACTGTTACTAAGAATATACTAAACAAATTGGAAGTGTTAAAGATTGCATTGGCTCTAAAACTTCAACTCTCTGCTAGAAACCTGTGCAGCCATCAATTCATTTTTATTTCCAGTTGCTGACATACTCCTTTGCCGGATTTAAATGGAAGCAATACCATCCTCGACAACCTCCAGAGAACAATTCGAACCGCTATGGGACTCTCAACACCGAAAACATCATCCCATTCAAGTACTGCAGCGTTGTACCCTTCCAAGGTCGCAGAGGGCGAGGTTATTTGTAGATCTCATAAATCTACACAGCTCTCAAAATGCCTTCACTCCAGAAGATACTTCTTGGAACATTGTGGAGAGTTCAGCAAGCAGTGAGTGCAGTTGATAAAACTTATTAATGTCCATCTTTGAACTTGAAAAAGCTTGATCCGCCTGTTCAACCAATTCTCATTGAAACGCTAGCAAGGCACACAGATATACATACTTATGGGAAAAGCAAAGGCACTGGCATGGAAGTACCCTCACGACTGAGTAATACCAGAAGTGCGCAGTCTGCTGCCGTCGCACGCAGGGCTCCAGCACGGTGTCTCTTTCCGGAGAACAGAAAGCCTTCATGATAGCTCCCCAGGAACACACAAAATGGTACCAAACATCTAACTTACAAAAAACACATCTTTGAGGATTCTACCATTCATGCCGACTCGTGTAATGAATATGTGAACGCTGCAAGCGAATCTATCACAACGTAACAAGTGGATTGTTTAGCAGCCACGCCACAGCGTGAATACAAAAAAGAGAGCCATGATGAAGTGGCGAAGCAGGTACAGCCAATTATTGGCGTGAGAACGGGCTTACTCGCCACTTCCGTTATGCCGTATTATAAATATGTGCCTCAGAAATATGCTTGAAAGTAGTGAAGCACACACTTTACCTGGATCGTTTCCATTATCACTGAAGACATGTCGGCGGCAATAAGACCCAGATATAAGATACATTGATAGAAACCGAAACAGCAGGTTTTCCTTAATCGATATATTCAATACCCCAATTACCCAACACATATCGGAAAAATAATCAGAGAAATCAAGAAGTATTACCGATCTCGCCTATGAGTCGCAACTCAGTGGAACTTCCGTAAAGTGAGACTGTTGCCTATAAAAATATCACCTACGGGATTGATCCCGAAAATGACACTTCGGGCACTGGAGTGTCTCACTGGATACCCAGAAGTGTATATAATATGAAAAAAGACAGTAATTTTGAATACATGCCCGTATTTCAGAAGCCATCTGAACCTTCAGTAAAGCAACCACACACCTGGTTCATCATACCTGTGTGTGGTTGACATACCGACCAGTAATACTGTGAATAAGTAAGACATAATAATAATAATAATAATAATAATAATAGTAATAAGTAATAATAATAATAATAATAATAATAATAATAATAATAAGAAGAAGAAGAAGAAGAAGAAGAAGAAGAAGAAGCATGGATGTATTTGTGATTGTCCCTTCGTCCCTCATCATTCTATCACTTCATAGCTCGTAACTCAAGGTTAACAACCATTTTTGAACAATGGGAACAGCCAAAATGCTGGACCTCACAGCGAGTCATGACTACTCATAGTGTTAATATCTCCGAAATAAAATATTACTGGGCCTGGGAAAATAGCATGTAACGTGGTTCCAATGCTCTGATATTCGCATTAAAAATATTAGAAGAAGAAACATTTAAATAAACTTTTCTTACAGACAATTACATTGAAGGGTTGTAATTTATCGACAAAAAATTCATGAATAGAAATCACAAATAAATAAAGAGTTCATACGAACATGTATTAAATATTAGTGACGGTAGTTAACTAATTCTCACATCAAAAAATTCAAATTCTTTAAAATTGATGAAATTAAACTGGCATACCAATGGAGGGGTATCAGCAACAGACCTCAGCGCAGCTTTTGCTCTGTGTTTAGGCAAGGATTACTATAAAATCGTTTAGAACGTTCATTTTTAAAACCTTCATTAACTTAATTAATAGCAATAATAAATAATGTATTGGACACCATAGCTGTGTGATTAGGTCATTGCTGCGAGGTTCTCTTACAACCACGTTTGCCCATTACCACGTGTCAACCTTACTTTATCATGTCTGTATAGACAGTTGTACATTTGAAGGAATTGTGAATGTTATTCTTTCCCTCAACAACTGAAAATATTTTAACACTTACAGAAACGTAGAAAATAAATTTGGTGCAAAATACAGGCAATGAAAAAATAACATTTTTTCTCCAAAAACCCTCCAATTTTTTCTTTATTTTTTTCATGGATAGAAGAAGGGATGCTTAGAAGAATGTCGCATGTCTCATTTTCGTTGCTCTCTCTGAACCTTCGAAGATGCAAATTTAAAATATATGCGAGAAAGTACGAGTTGCTGTAGCACTGGTTATATTTAATTTTAATTCTTAAAATATTATTTTTACGTACTACTCCCGAGGATGGTAACTGTAACTTTTAACTTTATTTGTATTTAGAACTTGCACAGTAAAATTTTTCAGCACATGGAAATATTTTAAAACAGTTTAAAATGTCGGCGACGCCACATTCTTCTAGTAATCTCACTAATATACATAATAACCACTTTATTCAAAAGAACGTTTTTCTACTACCGGTCCTTATTACGACCAACTGTAGCGTGTCTGTCGTTGGTAGAGAAAATTATAAAGGAACATAGCCACAAAGGGCAGATACGAACGACCTTTGCGCTTAGCTCTAGCAGGCAGTTTTCCCAGGCGTGGTCTCCGGCTGGCAAGGGCTTCGGCGGGCGTGGGCGGTGAATGACGGCGCGAGGGCCGGAGCCAAAGTCGCGAGGAGGAGGATGAGGAGGAAAGTCGGCTGTCGCCGGCGGCAGCGCGACCTCCGCCCGGCGCCGCTTCCGGCCTCCGCCCGGCACTTCCGCCCGCCGTCTTTGGGCGCCCGTCGCTCCGCGCTGGGCAGGGCAGCGCCCTTTCCGGAACACATCGCTCCGGCGACGGCCTCCTCTGCAGCGAACCCTGCACGCCCTTCAGAACCCTCACTTCGCAACGACCCGCCCACTGGGGTTTCCACCCGCGGCCGCCACTACCTTCGTGAGTCCCGTAAGTGTAGTACGCGCAATACTTTTGCAGGCCGTCATGTTTTGCCCGCGCTGGAATGCAAGATTCAAGCCCAATTACATATCCGTTTGCAGGCGGTTTTCCTTCTCCAATATTTCCACATCAAAATATAATCCGGCCAAACTCTAAGCTCCCGACGTGTATGTAAGTGTATGTATTAAAGGGAAGAGCAGGTGACAAGAACGATTAATGTTCGGTTATGTACGTTCAGCATTTATTTGCCTGGTTTCATTTGGGAAAATTACAGAAAACTAACGATCATAGCCTGGTTTCCGGAAAGTAATTGAATTTGATCTATGTTGTAGTGCCAAAACCCAACCACCGTCATGTCTAGATCCTTAAAAGGTTGGGTACGCACGTTATACTCCACCAAGTTTATGAAATATATTAATATTGCTGCAATTTTATTTTTTTACCTTACTTTGAGTACTGGCCGAAATGAGTAATTTCATCAATCATATGTTATGATTATGCCTGCGTTACATCTTTAAAACTGTAAGCTAGCTTCCCCTAAATTCAACTTTCGTGCTTAATTTTCAGGAACTCAACATATTATTCGATTTTAATTCAAGAACCAATGCGACAAATGTTAACATGAATAGCCAGAAGCTATTCATGTTTAATGAAGGTCATTTTTTTGCATCAAAAATTCTAAAAAGTACATTCAATTGAGAACAATGTAACGA